TTGGGACGAGAAGTGTTTCAGATTTTAGGAGATTTTGGATTTTGGAATATTTGCATAGACTTTACTGGTTGAACATCCCTAACCCATTTCAGATTTTGAATTTTTGGATTAGGGATGATCAACCAGTAAGTGCCGTGGATTGTAGGTACAGTACTTTGTCCAAAGTGTGTAAAAGGTACACAGGAAGGAGAAAGCAGTTCTATAGTTAGAACACATAATCCTGTAGTCTCTAGTACTTTAGGTTGATTACATCAAATGTTAAAGTAAAACATAGTGGTGATATATACTGATTTTATGAAGAGGCAGTGGTTTATATCGTAATGTGTATTTTTAAATTTGAATCACAAATTAATATTGAATGTGTATTGTATATCCTAGGAACAGAAAAATAAACCAGAATTTGACTTTGAGATCTAGCAAAGGCTCAACCGTATTCTTTTTTTGTTTGTTTGCTTTTTGTTTTTTTCTGGTACTGGGAATCAGACTCAGGACCTTGTGCTTGCCAGGCACGCACTGTGCCACTGAGCTAAATCCCCAGCCCCTCAACCATATTCTTGAGGGAGAAAAATGTCTTGTGATATGAGGTTTGGGCCTTATTTCCAAATAATTATTGTAAAATGATGTTTGCCTGGGTATAGACAGGGTGGAGGCAGTAGAAGTATGTGAAATGCCATGAAAAGAAAAAAAGGCCTGATTCAAGGGTAGTCTGAAGCACAGGTCTTCTGGGTGAGCAGTGTGGATCGGGTGATCAGGCCAAGCTCGGTAGAGACTTGGCAAAATGAAGAAGTGATATCACTTAGTTAAGTGAAAACAGATTAAAATATTACTTTGGGGATTTTGTATATGGAAAAAAGAGTATGTGGCATAGTGAACAGGATGACAGTGTTTGTAGGAGGACGTGGTGCCTCCGGGAGGTTCTCTAGATTTTTAGCCAAGGGAACTCACAAATGGGAAGTGCCTCAAGAACTTCCCCCTTACTTTCAGGGGGAAGTGTCTCAAGAAACCCCTCTTCTTTTTAGAGAGTAGTAATACCTAGGCTGGATAGGTGAGTTTCCACTGGAGCTCGAGAGAGAGAAGTATGTTTCTTGGCAGCCCACATTCCTTAGGTCAGGGTATAGGAGAAGAAAAAGTGTTTGCTTGGGGAATGATGGATACTTATCTGCTTAAAACAGAGCTGGGCATAGGAACACACACCTCTAATCCCAGCTACTTGGGAGGCTGAGGCAGGAGAATCCAAAGTTCAGGTCTATCCAGTGCAATTTAGTGAGATCCTGTATCCAGAAACAAAAACCTAAACCCACAGCTGGGCATGGTGGCGCACACCTGTAATTCCAGTACTTGGGAGGCTGAGGCAGGAGGATCGTTGTAAGTTTGAGACCAGCCCAGGCTACAAAGTGAGCTCAAGGCCAGCCTGAACTACATAGTGAGACCCTGTCTCTAAAAAAAAAAAAAATTAAAAAAACCCAAACCCACAAAAACAAAAATACTGCGTAAGCACTTCCTCTTTTTTTTGGAGACAGGATCTCACTGTGTAGTCCAATTTGCAACCTTCTTGCTTCAGCCTCCCAAGTTTTGGGGTTACAATTAATGCGCCACTACATCAGCTTTCCCTTTCTATTTTCTGTGAATACTCTTCCCTTTCCTAGATCCCTAACTTCTTAATTTTAAGAATTGACTTCTTTCTCTCTGTACTTCTTCCTGGTAGCTTTTTAAGTGTATCAGACCACCCCTGTCTTCAGAAAGTCTTTTCAGGATTACAGCATACTATTGCCCTTACCCCAATTTGTTCACATGTAAAGTTCACAAATATGCAATTGCTTTCTACTACTTTGAACTTCTTGGTACCCTTTAAAATTTAGTTTTTCCCCTACTGTTCTGTAGGACTTGCCTGACCTATCCGTCCCAGTACCCTTTTTTTGGTCTTGGCCTCTGTGGTGGTGGTCTTGTTTTTTCCAATCTTTTTAAAGGACTTTTTGCCAACTTCCCATTTTCCCACTCTACTTGATTAGGATCAGACTCAGTTTGGGGCTGTTTTTACCCCTCCAACCCCCATTTTGTTTTGTTGTTTTGAGACAGGGCCTCACTATGTAGTTGAGGCTGGCCCCAAACTTGTGACAGTTCTGCTCAGTTTCTGGAGTGCTGAGATTTACAAGCTGCGCTACCATGCCTATCCCCCTCTATTGCTTACTTGAATGTTCATTTCTTTTCTCCTCCTCAGTTCACTTCATAAATTCCCAGCAAAACTGGAACAGTTTGCTTTTCTGGAAGAATCTTTATTCTGTTAATAATTATGTAAAATCATCTGCACAACCACTTGCTACTCATATTTTTAAAATATATTTTATATATTTGTGTTTATGTACCCTGGTTTGTATATTGCCTATTCATTTTGCTCTATAACCTTATATTTGTGTATTATTTATCCTTTTATCCCTGGAGTTTGAACACCTTGAAGTAGCTTTTAAAACTTCCTTGTGTATAATATGTGGTATTTAGCAAATCATTGTTGTTAATGGTTAACAAAGTTCAAGAATAAAATTAAATACTTGAGTAGACTAAGTGGCCTCCAGTCTTTTTCCATTGACCTTTTCCTATTGACGATAATAACAGCCAACATTTTTAAAGCATTACTAAGTGTTAGGTAGTGCAAGAAGTAATTTATAAGGTTTTGATTTCTTTCTTCTTTCACAGTAGCTTTGTGAAAGGATGCTTTTATTATATTCATTTTACACATGTGGAAATTGAGGTTTAGAAGAATATGTGATTTTTTTCAAGGCCTCCATAAACCCAGGTCTTTCTGACTCCAAAGTTCATATTCCTGACTGCTACATCCTAAAAAAGTTTTTTTCAAAGTTTTGTTTATGTGTTTGTTTTTTAAGGAATGCTGCACTGAAGAAGTGTTAGTAATTTAGTTAAAAGTCTTAATCCAGGAAGAAATGCCTAAAAGAGCCACTTGATTTACTTTCTGCTTTTATCTGTCCTTAGTTTGAAGAAGTTATCTACTTCTAGGAATATATCTGACTTTGACACAAAATCAGATTCTATAACCCTGTTTCACTTCTGTCAGTTGTCCTAGATTTCAGGCAGTAACACCAAACCATTCCTGTAGTTTATTCTCAGTGCTAAAACTACCAGGCAAGTTTATCCATTAAGTCATGCCAGGAATTGGTTAGCAGAATTCGTTAACCTGACAAACCAGTTCTTATAATAGTAGCATCCTCCAGAGAATAAGAAATGATTTCTCCAGTCATACTTGTGGGTTCAGCTTGAAAAGTACGCTGCTCGTGCGCACACTGGTAACCCCAGCTGCTGCAGTGGAGGTGGGGTTGAGGCAGGAGGATGGCAAGTTCAAGACCAGTGTGGGCAACTTAGTAAAAGCCTGTCTCAAAATAAGACTAAGCTAGGGAAGAGAAAACAAAAGTGGAATGGCTCTCATTGGTAGAGCATTTAGGTTCAATATCCAGTACTAAGAAAACAGAAAAACAAATTTTAAAAAAGCATATGTTATACCACTATTGAGCTGTCCCTAGCCTCTCAATTAATTTAAATACATTATATTTAGGGAAATTACTAGAAATATAAAATAATTGATGGAATTTATGTGTTTTAATTTTGACTACTGTCTTTTTGGAAATACCTATTTCCTTCTCATTTGTTGTTCCCCTTACTGAATGCTTTTGGCACTAGAACTGTGTCACCCTATATGAAATGAAGTGAAATCATATGAGAGGCTACTCTGGTATTTTCCCTGAAAGTTTTAAATCTAGCTTTACTTTTTTTTTAAACAGGTAAAATCTTTTTATGGGTACCTTTGTCTTTCCTACATAACCTCAGAGGGCAATGGCAAGCATTTGAACAGATTAGTCTAGACAGAAGGAAGAGGTATATGGGAGAACAGGTTAGATTCATGCTTATTTTTTCCTTTTCACAAGGTATTAGAATATTTCCAGGGGACAAGGATAAAGGGAGGAAGGTAGGCACTCTGTGGGTGAAATCTTTTTTTTCTTTTTGAGACAGGGTCTCACTTTGTAGTTCAGGCTGGTCTTGAACTTACTGTGTAGCTCAGACTACCCTCAAACTCACAATCCTCCCACCTGTGCCTCTGGAGTATGCGCCTGGCTTATATCACTTTCTTTTCAAGTTCCCAAGTTCCCACGTAAATCACTTATCACCAAAGTAAGTGTAGCAGTTCATTTCTCATATTCTAGATAATTTTCACCTTCTAAATGTTGTTTGAAAAAAAAAAATGTTATTTGAATGGACAAAGGTCTTCTTAAAGGAACCAGGAGAATTTTGTAAAACTTGGAATTGGGTTAGTTTGGATTTTGAGTTTTGGCCAGTTGTTTTGAGTGCATGAATACGTAGTACTCCAGAAAAGGGATGCCAGTAAGATAGAAACAATGCATTGCTTGGTCAGTTTGGGAGGAAAAACAATAGAATTGCCCATTTACTTCCCTGTGGGAAGCAGAAGGCCTATAAACTTGTTAAGGAGAAAATAGGACAGCATTCAAAGGCTAGGCTTATTAAACAACTACTGTTTAAAGCAGCTATCAGGTCCTTGTTTGGTACCTTCTAAGATATATTTTCTTACGTGTGATGCTTTAAGAATAGGACTGGGACTGATTGTCCCATAATCACTTTTCTCTGAATTTATCTTTTCAGTCAGTACCCTACTGTGTACTATGCTGTATAGTTCTTCACTCCAACTTTTCATCTGTTTTTCATGGTTGAGTTTCTCTGGCACTGGACAAATTGTTGTGTGAAAATCAGTTGGTATGTATTGCTGCCAGAAATCTGATTGGAGGGCTGATAAGAATTTAAGTTCAAATTGCGATTGTCTAACCTCAGTTGTCTACTTGGGGGGGGCATTCACTGTGTGTGGTTATAGTTACTAGACCTGTCATTTTACCTAGACAGAACTCCCTGAGTGTCATGTAATTTGTGGAAGTGCTTTGCTGTGTATTAAAGTGTCTTAGCTCATGCGATCGCTTTCATTGCAGATGAGCAGGAGGCATTGGACTCGATCATGAAGGATCTGGTGGCTCTCCAGATGAGCCGACGTCCCCGGGTGTCTGGATATGAGACCATGAAGAGCAAGGACGCGAGTCACCCAAATAGGCAGGTATGTGTAGCTCTGGCAGAGCTTATCTAGATTTGTTGGGAGGGATTTTCAAATGGGAACTGTATGAAAAGCCAAGGCTACTCAAACACCAGCATTGAATGCTATTGGTCCCTTCCTTTCCGCCTGTTAAATGGTGATATATGCCAGCCATGTGTGGGTCCATGATCTGGATTTGTACATAGCATTTCATATGTGGCGAATAATGCCTTCATCTGTTATGGGGACAGTATTTATATAATTTTTTCCTTTACTGATAATTTGGCAATTATTTTATTCAGGTTCATGATCCTTAACTTCTATTTTTGTTAACGTTTAAACTTACGTGCCATTGAGAATCTTCCTCACATCTTTAGTGTCATTTACTGTCTTGTTTTCTGGGTACTTCGGCCTGCAGAGAAGAGTGCACAAATAGGGAGCTCTCCCACTTAGTGGGTATCCAGTGCTATATTTGATGGCTGTGTTGGGCGTGTTTGATGAAAATTTCTCCCTGACATTCTCCCTTATGGTTCTCTCTCTTACCAGATAACCTCCTCTGTTATTTACATCTTGTCTGCCAATTCTTCAGAGGTACATTTGGATCTTAGAGAAAGTACAGTGGTACTCTGTTTTCTCCACAATTCTGGTCACAAACCAAACTGGAGGAGAACTGAATCAAATTTTCCCATAAGATCAACATTGAATCTAACCATTGAATTTAATTTGGTTCTTGTCTAACTCAGTTTGCACCCAGAATCATGGAAAGAATAAAATTCATGAACCAACGTACCACTGTCTGAGGCTCTAGAATGTGGTCTGCCAGATAGAGCCTCCCAGAGCATTTCCTGCTTTCAGGAATTCTAGGGAACCTAGAGGAGAGTCTTTTCTTCCTCCCCCCCCCCCCACCAGAAATCAAACTCATGACCTCACGCTTGCCAGGCAGGCGCTGTGCCACTGAGCTAAATCCCCAGCCCTGAGGAGAGTCTTTTCATTCCATATTATAACAGGATTAGTTTAGAAAGCTGCTTTAGCCGAGCATGGTAGGGCACGTCTGTAATCCCAGCACTTGAGAGGCTGAGGCAGGAGGATCTCTGTGAGTTCAAGGCCAGCCAGGGCTACATAACTGAGTTCAAGGCCAGCTGTACTACATAGTGAGATCCTGTCTCGAAAAATCAAAACAAGGGAAAAAAAGGAAAAGAAAGCTCCTGTGGTTGTTGTAATTATCTTACAAAACTGAGGTAATAACGGATTAGAGGCCATTCTTGTACTAGTCTCATACTTACTCTGTCTAATAGTGTGGACTCTCCCTTGAAATAACTTACTTGTATTCAGAGCCACGTTTTGAAGGCGCATTTAACCAGAAGTGGGTCCCTCCCCCAGGCTTGAGCCTAATGACCTCACTTTCCTTCCTGTCCATGTGCGCAGCCATTCTAGTTAGTTGATCTTTCTCCAAACTGGACTGTTAGCGTGGATATCAGTTAATGGGTGAGAAGGGGAAGCTTTCTTGAGTTAGAGGACTTAAAGAGACCATTCTGGGAAAAAAGAGGAGTGGAATAGTCCCTGGTAGTTCCTTAAGAAGGGATTACTTTTTGGGAATCCTGTTTTGAGACTAAAAGCTACTGTAAGAGAAGTCCTGACTTTTTGCTGTGCCTGCTGCTGTGTTAGTGGAGTGAAATCAGTGGTTACGAGGTTATGAAAAGGATTGAAAATAGGTTAGAAGATAAAGTTAATGAGACCTATCAGCTATTTGGATCTACAGTTTGCTTGAATGATGTCAAACTTTCTGCTGTTGCATGGAGGATACAGATTATTAACCTTAGTTTTTTTGTTTTTAAAGAAAAAACACGGCAGCAGCAGCTCAGCCCTTCTGAACAGCCCCACAATAACAACAAGCTCATGTGCAGGGGCCAGTGAGAAAAAGAAATTTTTGGTAAGGACCCATATTGCCTGAATTGTGCTTTTTAATTCTGCTTGTCATGCTGGAAGGGTAGAAGTGATTTCCCAGACAAGTTGTTGTGGTGGGTTTGTGGGGAGCACTGGTTGAGCTCGTTACCATACACGTAGATGATGTTATGCATAGGCAGTCTTTATTTAGTGCTGTCAAATAAATTTGGTGATGACAGAAATGTTCTGTATTTGTGTTGTCCAGTATGGTTGCTACTAGCCGCTTGTGGCTGCTGAGGAACTTAATTTTAAATTTTATTTAAGTTATTAAGTTAAAATTTTAATTAAGTTAATAGCCATATGTGGCTGGTGGCTATTATATTGGGTAGTACAACTTTATACACTGTAAGTACATAGCTTACCTAAAGTTCTACTGCCTAGTACAGTAGGGACCTAAAAGGGACTGTTGATTTATTGGACAAGAAATTAAGTATATGGAGCTGGGCATAGTGGTGCATACCTATAATCCCAACTTCCTGGGATACTGAGGCAGGAGGATTGCAAATTGGAGCCTGGCCTGGGCAACCTAACAACTTAGTGAGATCCTGTCATGGAATAAAAAATAAAAAAGGACTGTGGATAACTCAGTGTGAGTCCTTGGAGTTAACCCCAATACCCCCCCACCCAAAGGGAAGGGGGATAAATTAAATGTGTCTTTAGAAAGGTGTAGGTTGGTGCATACATTCCATTACACAGGTAGTGAATTTCTACACATCGTGATAAGCTCATCCGTGAGAATCCTAACATTCTCTCCTTTGGGGAATGGGAAACTGTAGAAATAATATGGCTATTTAGAAATTGAAGCTCAAGCCTCACAAACATGAGGTTGTGAGTTTGATTCCCAATACCAAAAAAAAGAAGAAGAAATTGAAGCCCAAGGTTTTACTATTGGGTAATATTAGGTAAAGGCGCAATGAAAATGTCAAGATAGCTTTTTTCCCTTAATGAAGCCAAGGTTGTAAAATGTTCTTTCCTGGGAAGTATAGCAAAGTCCTGAAATCAAAAAGAGAATTCACTTCTGAAGAAATAGAGTGAGATGGGTATGTAGGGAATGCATGGGGGAGAGGTATTTACAATTTAGTGTAATTAAAGGAGCCTGTTCTGGCAAGCACAAGGTCGTGAGTTTGATTCCTGGTACTGGGGGGGGGGGGGAAAGAGCCTGGTCATGTTAATCTGTTAAGGTGGACCTTTACAATTTACTGAGTAAATTAGCATTTATTATTGTTTTTGCTAGCATAGGCCTGGGATAGAGTGGAACAGGGTTGGGTTTTTTGTTTTTTGGGGTTTCTTTTTGGTTTTTCTTTTTCTCTTTTTTTTTTTTACCAGTTCTTCTGCCAGAAAGTCCATGCTTAGGAAGAGAGTAGACTGAAAGATCAAAGCTTAATTTGAATGGCTAAGAGAAGCCAAATTATATCAAACTGAGCTAAAGATTCAAATTGCAGAGTCACAGTTGAAGGTAACCCAAGCGTTTTGGCTAGCGATAAAGGCTGTTTATTCATGAGTGGAATGATGTTGGCAGCGGCAAACAGTCCTTCAGTGTGAGAATGGTGGCGCTGGCTACAAGGCCAAGTTGAGATTGGCACAGTTTCACGGGGTGCATGGTTGGCACAGCTAAGGAAGCCAAGAAGCTGAGTTCATTGACAGAACTGTTTGGGGGCTGAGTCCTGGAAGAGCCGGAGGACCCAGTTCAGTCTCTCTTGGCAGAATTTTAGACATCCTCTTCCTTAAATAAACAAGCTGAGTAACCAATTGAAGGAGAGAGTGCATTTGATAACAAATAAGCATTCTGAGGTGCTGTAGGAGTAATGGGGGTACTTAGCTAGCAATGGAAGCTATATGGGTAATGGGGTACTTAGCTACAAGTAGGTTCTTCTCTGTATTCTCTCTTCTGTATACTAGAAACTGACAGCATGGTTAGATGTTTGACCTGTCTAGTTGAGGTTGGGTCTGTGGTTGGTTTTGCAGGCCATGGTGTGCAACCTCCCGACCGCTGTCACATACTCAGTGCTTTATAGGTGCTTGTTCTCTGCGGGATGATAGCTTAATGCGGTGAAAGCACTGTTTACACAGGATTTTATCATTTACAGAGTGCTTTCCACAACAACGGTTAACAGTACCAACAGTTATAATCATGTGCACAATACTTCAGTGTTTGCAGAGATTTTACACAAAGGTATTTAGTAGAGCCAGATAGCAAACCTAGATTTTCTGACTCCTAGTCACAGTAATTTTTCCACCTGTAAGACCTATGACCCTTTGAACCTTAGTTCCGTCAGAAATTTAGACATAATGCTCTATGTCTGCTGCCTCTTAAGGTTGTTGTAAGATCATAGACAGCATGTAAAGTATTTGTACATTATAAGACAAATGTACAAATGTAAAGTTATGTCACTTTGTGATTATATCGCTTCTACTGTGTTTTGGCACCGTGGATTTGAGTTTTGGGGAGCAACTTCTAACCAGAACTATACATGGTGTTAATGGAACTAAAAGAGTGATGGGTTTTCCCACCTTTATTGGATTGTTGTTACCATCTGATTGATGGTCTTTTTGCAAACATCTAAATCTAGCCTAATTTCTGAAAACCCCAGTGGAGGAAGAAATAGAATCTTTATTTCCCTGGATTCTTGTTTCCCTTGAATTTCATCAGAATGGTAGATAGATGCTTAACAGATCCCAGGATGTGGATCTGACTCTGCGGATAGTCACTAGTAGATCTTCAGAATGGAAAAGCTGCTTTCTTTAGGGAAAGCATGGGCAGGGTAGGGCCTTTGCTATCAGTTCCAGAGGAAGAGAACTCCAGGAGCCTGTTCCCCTAGTGGGTCTGTGATTGAATAGACTGCCTTTTGCTTTTACAGTGATAGGCCTACCTCTTCAGAACTTCCCTTCTCTTTCGAGGATTATTGATAAGATGAGATGGCCAGTTTGAACTGGCTTTATATTTTGTAGGAAGATTGATCTATAATTATTTCTTCCATTGTTCTCTTCCGACTTTCCTGAGTCATGATTACAAATAAAATTTTTACTTTTGTTGCCCTTTTCTTTTTCTTTGATTTATTTACTGTCTGGCAAAATAAGGATTGCAGTTTCAAAGAGCCATCAAAGTTATATACAGCAAATACAAGAAGAAGGAGTAATGCAAATCAGAGCGAGGATAAGAAAGGCAATGGTTAACTGAGGCCTTTGCCTGATCAAATTAGTTCGTAAACCTTTGTTTAATAAGAAGTTTGGTTGTACTGGATTCCCCAGAGCACTCTTGGATTACATATTTAACCGCAAAGTTCAGTCTTCCAGAGAGTCATTTGTGCTTATGTTTGGTGTTATCAGTTATCCCTGTTGCCCCTGTGAGTTCCCAAATCTGTAGCTTAACCTTGAGGCCTGTTCTGTTCCTCTTCCCTTCTCCCCATCCCCTTCACTTCTCTCTCACTCTCTCCTTTGTTTTTTTACTATAACCTGTCACTCTTCTGAGCATGCCTGTCACTACCCTCTCACCAGTTAACTGTGATGAGGAGGGGAGTTGAACCTTCCTAAACCTACATTTTTGAACTTTTTTTTCTCAGCATTTGTGATACCTTTTCATTTGGTTCAACATCATGCCTATAGTCAACCTTCTTAAAATATACGCACACTAAATGTAGTTCATGTTGCTTGTACCCAGGAATTATGCAGTCTTATTCAGGGAATGAGAAATATAAATAAAAAAGAGATTGTGGCAGGATGTGATTGTATCTAATTAATTGTATGGTCCAAAAAAATGAGTGCTGTAGAAAATCAGGGAAGTCAAAGGAGTAAGTTTGGTCCAAAGCCAGTAGGGAGTCATTTCAAATGGAGATAGCACTTGAGCCAGGCTGTGAAGGATGCATAAAAGTTTAGTTGGTTGGGGAGGAAGAAGGGTGGCACTCCAGATCAGAAAATAGATTATTCAAAAGGCCTATAGAGAAGAAATTTATATGATATATTGTATTTCAGAAAATAAGGGTGAGCATTGATCTGGCTAGAGAGGAGAGTTTCTGTGGAGAGCAAGAAGTGTGAGATGGTTAGATAAATTAAATGAGCCTACATTTCAGAGGGCTTCAAATGATGGAGAATTTAGGCTTTATTCCATAGGCCATGGGTATCACTGATCACTTTTTGAATGAGGAAGATATGTGTTGAAAGAGGTAGGTAAGATGGTTAGACCTGTAAAGGAATGTAGACTGGGCTGGAAGCAGGGAAGCTGAGAAGTACAGAGGAACCCACGTGACCAGTAAGATGTCAGAAAGAATGGTGGGCAAAGTTTCATACTGGAAGCCTTTAAAGCAAGAATTGAAACTTGTTATCCATCTGCAGGGAGAAAGGAAGGAAAGGATCAAGCAGAACTCAGAGGTTTAATCTTGTATAGCTGAGAAAACAGTAATGCCAAAGCTAGAAGTGGCAGCACTGAGAACAGAGACTAATTTTGGAGGGTAGTTGATGTAAACATATATGGACAGGTTAAGTTTTGAGATTACAGTGGAAAAAGAACTTGGAAAGTGTGTGAGGTGTGTGTGTGTGTGTGTGTGTGTGTGTGTGTGTGTGTGTTGATTTTTGCAGGTCCATAATCTCTTATGTGCAATTTGAAATCCAAAGAGTTCTGCAAACTAAAGCTTTGTTTTTTAATTTGCAGCAAACTCATTGGGCAGCAAAACTTGGCCTGAACAGACACAGCAATATTTATAGTCTTTATCCCATTTATTGTGCATATTCATACTTTCACTGCAAAAAATTAGGCTAGCTTGGATAACTAGTCTGTACTGTATTAACAGACAAACTGAAAACTGCAAAAACTTAACAATGATATGTCTAGTATGAGGCGGGATGAGAATAGTGTTCCTTATAGTCACTTAGCAACCTCAGTCAAGGGAGCCTCACTATCTTGCGCCATATGGCTGCCAGGGAAAAGTATAGAATCAGTTCTCTTCCCAGCTCTTGGTCAGAACTAGGCAAAGGGGAAAAAATAGCTAAACTAACTTCAGGAAATGCAGGGGAGTGCAGGAAATACTTGTGAGCATTCTGCCTCTCTGATAGAAGTTCTATCCCAGCCACCCGCTCCCTCCCTTGGGAAGAGGGAAGGTATCACATGATACATAAAATACACACCGTACTGCCTCTTTTAAGTCCTAAATGTGCATTCTGAAACACTTTTAGCCTTGGTGGTTTGGTGCAAGGGTAATGGGCATGTTTTATCACTTACTGAGCATTTAGAAGTTGGCTATTACTCTAATCTCTACTTGGTTATTATAATAAGTAAGTGTAAGTCCATCAGATAAGTACTATCATTATTTTTACTTCAAAGAGAAGGAATCAGTCACAGAGAGGGTAAGTAACAAGTGGAGGAGGGTCACACAAGAAATTGTAGAACGAGGATATAAAGTATGAAGTTTGACTTCAGTGCTATGTTTTTAACCACTATATATCTGCCTCAAGTACATGACAGGCATTTGAAATTTTCCTTCATAGTTTGGGGCTGGACATAGAGTTTTGAGAGTCTTCTATTTAGAGACTGACTTTTGATTAATTGTATCCCTACTGAGGAGAAAGTGTTACAGGGGAAACAAAGCCAGAGATAAAAAGTCCATGGTCACATATGGGATGAGGGGAGAAGAGGGCATGAAAAAGAAGAATCAGCCAAGAAGCAGAAGTGGCGAGCATGGTAGCAGGTTTCCTGAGCTGGAGTAGAGTCATAGAAGTCAAAGGACTTGGCTACCAGTGCCAGATGCCTCCAGGAGGTCAATGAGAATAGTTGGCAGGGAGGAATTGAATGGTTATCTTTATCTGAACCATTCTTTATACATGGCTTATTATTGTCAGCCTGTCAGGAGAAATGCAGGTCTGAGCACATCCCATGAGACAGAGAAGTCTGCATCCTGCTCTGGAATGGCTGTCATGGTGTTGGAGAAGGCATCTTTGTTTGTACTGCTTAGTAGTCCCAAGCTTGGTTGGGCTTGAATACAAGTGATTTGTGATTTGGAGCAAAAGTTCAATTCCATTTCTGACTAATTTCACGTAGAGTTATATTCCTGTTATAGCCCATCATGAAAGTTCAGTTCCATTTCTGACTAATTTCATGTAGAGTTATATTCCTGTTATAGCCCATCATGAAATAAATTTAGTTCCTTTAGCCTTTTTTTTTTTTGAGACAGGGTCTTGATATGTAGTCCAGGCTGGCCTTAAGCTCATGGCAATCTTCCTGCCTCAGCCTCCCGAGTGCTGGGGTTACAGGCATGTGCCACCATGCCCAGCTTTATTGCCACACTTTTTAAGAGTGAAAAAAATTAGGTAAAAACAAATAGGAGAAGACCTGAACTGACCGTGCTGGGGCACGCTTATAATCCCCACACTCAGGAGGGCCTGAGACTCAAGTTTGAGGCCAGCCTGAACTGCATTGTCTCAAAAAAAACCTGTCTCAAAAAAACCCTGTCTCAAAAAAAACAAACCAAAACAAAAAAGACCTGAGAATATCTGAATAAACTATGGGCTTTAGTTGATATATCAATATTAACTGATTGTAACAAAAGGAAACATACTGTGCTGAAATAAGATGTTAATAATAGGGAGAACTTGTGTGAGGGATGGGAATTCTGCTCTAACTCCTGAATTTTTCTGTACATCTAAAACTGTTCCAAAAGTCTATTAATTAAAAAAATAATGAAAATGAGAGCTATACCAAAGTGTGCTGAGCTAGAGACAGGAGCAGTGGAAGGACGTGGTAACCTACCTGCAGAGGCAGAAAGGACTGTGATTACCAGAGCTCTTCGTGGGAATAGAAAGTGGGAAGTCGGAGACAGCAGGTCAGAGCATGGCGGTGTGTGTCAAGGACCATGCTTTGGAGGGTTCTTGTTATGGCAGTCACTTAGCGTAGTGAGGGAAGGAAAAAAAGAAGACAGTAATGAAAAAACTGCCATCATTCTTACAAACTTTGAATCCATATGGCTGCTCCTTCCGCTGCACTACCCTGCCTTTTGCCCATGTACTATATATACGTTCTACCTAGAACACAGATCAGATCTGGGCACTTGCGTCTTCCACCTTCTCAGGTGTCACATCCACCCACAACCAAAGGGTCCTCTTCTGGCTCCCCAGCTTGTTACACGATTGGTGTCCCAGTCTCTAAGTTCTGACTCCATTACTACCCCAATGTAGGGAGCTTTCAGTCTCTTTTTCCATGAGTGCTAAAAAGGAAGGTCATATAAGATCTTTTGTTGTTGTTCCCATTGAAGCCTTGCATCAGTGAAAGAAACCATTTGACTGTAACATTTAGCTTACTATTTAGGAGCCAGGCTTTCAGGGTTTGAATCCTGGCTCTTACTTTACAAACAGTATGATGTAACCTTGCGTGAACTTACTGTATACCTCGTTGTAACTCAAGTTTCTTTTGTGAAATAGTGATGATACTAATACCTGTTGTGAGGATTAGTAACATGCTTAGAACAGTCTTGGTCCACAGTAAATGCTCAATAAATGTTAGCTATTATTGTGCAGAATAAATGGCTAAAATGGTCCATGTTATATGAAAACATAAGAGGACCATATCAGGGCTGTATTTAAAGACTTATATTATATGCTTTATTCCGGCTATCTGCTATCTAGTACATGTACTTTCCAGGGACCCTAAGCCCTTGGAACTTCACTTTCCTTATCTTTAAAATAATGGATTAGAGGATAGTATTCTTGTTTTCTGATTCAGTGGTTCTCAAGGTATAGTGTGGGGACCACCTGGGAGGTTTCTAAGACCCTTTTGGGGGTGGATGCACATTATTTTCATAATACTATAATGTTATTTTCCCTTTTCACTCTTATTCTCTTAAGAATGTACAGTGGAGTTTCCCAGAAGCTACATTTTTTATGTTATTGCAACAGATTGAAAGTTGAAGAAAGCAAGAAAATTCAGCTATCTTAGGCCATGCATTGAAGAGATTTGCATTCTCTCATTAAATTTCTTTTGGAAAGCATAGTTTTTATAAAAAGGTCTATTCATGTTAACAATAACAATTAAATGTTTTTTAATTGTTATTTTGAAATAAAAAATAATTTTGTTTTAATTTCTATTATGGTAAATATTAGTTTAAATTAGCCACATAAACAAAAGCTCTTAGGGGCCTCCATCATTTTTAGAGGGTAAGTTAGAGCTTTTGTTACAATTCAGTAGACTGGAAGAGAATTCTAGCCCCTCGTGGGAGAAAGGAGTTCTTTATGTACTCTTCCTACCTTTCCAACTTGCCCTATTCTGTCATCTTCTCTGACTGCTATTTGTTCCCTAATTTAGAAGCTTTGAAGGCCTCTTTCTTCAAAGCCACTGTGTGTGTGTGTGTGTGTGTGTGTGTGTGTGTGTGTGTGTGTGTGAGAGAGAGAGAGAGAGAGAGAGAGAGAGAGGAGAGACAGAGAGAGACAGACTCACTATGTAGCCCAGGCTTTCTTGAACTGCTGGCAATCCTCCTGCCTCAGCTTCCCAAGTGCTGGGATTACAGACATGCACCACAACAGCTGGCCACAGTCTTAGATTTTTTTGAAAGAGGATCTTGCTGTGTAGCTCAGGTTGGCCCTGAGCTCAAACTTGAGACCCTGCTGCTTCAGCCTCTCAAGTAGTGGGATTATAGGTATGTGCCATCATGCCCAGTATAAGCCACAATCTATGTTTGTCTTTTTCAGTAATATTTTACTCATTGACTCTGAATTCTTTCTTCTTGTCATCTATTATTTGCTGGTTTCCCAGCAATCTTACTTTTTTCCCCTCTTCTATAATCTCTCTTTCCTATCATTTTTCTAATTCTCAAATGATATTTACAATATTTATTTCTCCTGGATTTTTTCTTTAACATTTTAATGCTTCTACTTCCCTTTCTCACATTTAGTCTCAGTTCTGTTCTTCAGTCCATTCATCTATTTACCAAATATTATTAAGCACAAATTTTATATGCTGTTCTCTTTGCTTGGCATTGGGAATATAGAAACAAAATAGACATGATTTCAGCCCTTCCAGTTTGTATGCCCAAGAATGGTCACTTTGGAGAAAGCTAGAACAGTGTCCTAAGGTCATTTGTTCAGGGTCCTACTTTTGTTCCACAAGGATAGCCTTGTGAGGATTGTGGGAAATCCCATGATAGTAGAAATAGGAACAGAAACAAAAAAATATTTATCACATGCGTGCTACATGTCAGATATTTTACTAACATCTCCTTTAGTTTTCATAGCAATTCTGCAAGGTATGTTTAACCCCACTCTGTAAATGGAAAAACTAAAACTCAGAGGATTAGCACCTTGCCTGTGGTCTACCCCAAGATTTATTTGGAAGCATCAGTCAAGAAGGAAAGGTATCCTGGTGAAAAGGTGTATAGTAGGAGAAATTCCAGAGCCAGTTATAGAGACAGAGAGTATGTAAGTCTAGAATCTGAGCTGGGGTAGGTACCTAGGAATCTTGTCCAAGAGCTTTTGTTGCTCCTGAGATTAGAACTGGAAGTTGTAACTGATTGGAAAGGAATACCTTTCTGGGTAGGGTAACTGCACCAAGAGCCATGAGATGTTTGCCTCATGGTGATGTTTGCCTAATGATGTTAAAGGACTGCTTACTTGCAAATGACTGAAATAACATGTACCAGAGAACCCTCTAACCTATGTGTCATTACTTTTGGCAGAGTGACGTCAGAATCAAGTTTGAGCACAATGGGGAGAGAAGGTAAGTTGCCCTCTGATCAGTAGTTGTGTTCACATGTGCTGAAGTTCTCAGTAAACGTTGCACTTAGGAGGCCTGTCCTGATCCTGTGGCACCAGTGGTGGAGGAATGGGGTTGATTGTGTAAAAGTGGGCAAGTTCCATCCTTGTTTTGACTTATCATTTCAACTGCTGCTGTTTTATTATTCTCCTCTTCTGCTCTTTTGCTAAAAGAAGAAATGAAGGCATCAGCGCTACTCAGAATCATGACTTCTGTATAACTGACATTGTGCCACCTGTGGGCAGTAGAGGGCAGTCAGGATGGTTCTGTGACGTGGTGCCATTCCTGTTCCCTGTAGAGTAGCCCTAGCTTTTAGGGTTAGGTTGGTTAATTGGAAGCTTCTTCATGATGTCTCCAGGTCATGAGAAGCTGTACCAAGTCCATCAGTTTTGGAAGTTTGATCCTTTGAGGATGTAGAAGGAAGGAGTTTTTCTGTTTATATTCTAAATCTTATCTGATTAGTAAGATGAAAATAATGTTATAAAACTTTCTCTATCATGAAGATTTTAGTTATCATCATCATTATTATTATTTTGTGTGGTAAAAATGTCATTCCATTTAATTTCTCAGTTATCTAAGGGAAAATGTTTTAAAAGGATACAGAACTCTGGTCATGGGACCTTGTACATGTCCGTGCACCTAAATGTGCCTCTTAATATTAGTTTCCCACTCTTTGCCTCGCCTTCCTGTTGCTATCTCCTCTTTTTCCCTTTGCTTTGAGTATTTGGAGAGGTAAAGAGCATGCTTATGAGAAGGTCTTCAGCTTTGTCCCACTGTAGGACCTTAGTATCTCCACCTGTTCTTCACTGTGGAAAGTGTGGTCTGTGGAACCAGCGTCCTGCTGCTCCCTTGTGGGTTCTGGGACGGTTCCAGGCCTGGAGGAAGAAGGTCTTCTTAGCTCTGCCCACAGCTCTCATCTTGCATCCTGCCAGAAACAAGGAAATTAAATTGCTACTTCATTGTTGCTGCTTTTCACACTTTCTGACTGAGTGGGTTGTGGAAGGATGGCCAAGCTTGGAGGAGCAGAGAATTTTCAGAAGTAGATATGAAATCAAAAGCCCAATTGTGTTGGAGCGTAGTTAGGCAGTTTGCTCTCCTGAATTCTCTGTTCCCAAAGTGGTATGTAGTTACAGTGAGTGAACTTATACTGAGAAAGTGTATGTGTTTGGTTTCAGAGAAACTGCCAGATTGAAACCACAAATATTTAAGGTGGTCAGACAGGAATGGCCTTCTGAAGCCCTGAGTTGGGAGAATGTTGGTATCAAGATTTTAAAAGCTTTGCGTTCTCTTTTTATGGATCTGTTTTCAGAAGCTATGGCATTTCACTGTTTGTGTACTATGTGTGGAATTGAGGACTTTCAAAAGTTGGTACCAGGAAGCCAAGTTCAAACTGTTCTTTGCCAGACAACTCAAGTTTTCATGTATTTCATGTCCTAGGGTTTTAGAGAGAATGTCGTTGTGGGCTTTCTTTACTTTTACAAGGAATGTGAGCAGTATTTTTCTAAATGTACACTCTTACAGAATTAGGATTTACAAAAAAGGAAAGTGACTTTTCCATAGTAACCATCCTAGTAGGCAGACTTTGTTTTAAAAGTCAGTATCACTGACCTCCCACTCTCTCAGCTACTGGGGGCCAAAGAGGAGGACTTTAGATTAGGATCTCCTTCCTTTTGAAAGCCTTAAAGGCAGGACACTGTTACAGATTTATATACTTCTTTTAAACATTGGTCAAAGAATGTTGGTAAGATGGCAGCAGCTTGATTCTTACCAGTCTGAAAGTACTGATTTTTTTTTTTAAACTTCTTTTTTTCTTACTGGTACATTTTAGATATATATAATGATAGCATTCATCTTAGGGAATCTGTACCTGTACATGGCATAGCTTGCTACTTTTTTTCCCATTTCCCTCCCCTCTGTTCAGCCTACTTTTTTTCCCATTTCCCTCCCCTCTGTTCCCTCCCACAGCCTCTCTTTCTGTCCTTATTTACAAAAGTTTTGTTTCCGTTTTTTCCTTCTATTCTCTTTTTTTTCTTGTCCTTCCTTCCTATCCCCTTCCCCCGTCCCTTATTCTCCTTCTTAAACATTTTCTTCCCATTCCTCAGTATCTATTACACATTTTGGTCCTCTTTACACTTTTGGTTTCCCACACCAGAGAAACAATGCAGATGTGTGTCCAATTTATTTCACTCAAGAGTATGGTCAGGGTGCATCCATTTAGCTAGAAATGTCTTAAGCTTATCCTTCTGTATGACAGAGTAGTACTTCCTTTGTATTAAAAAAAAAAGCCCACATCCTCCTTATCCATTCATCAGTTTTTCGTCATTTGGGCTGTTTCTAAGATTTTGCTATTATAAACTATGCTGCTATAAACATGGGTGCACACATATCACTGTGGTATGTGCTTTTATTTCTTTTGGGAAGATACCAAGAAGGGGAATAATAGTTGGGTCAAATGGGACCTCTACTCTTAGTTTTTTGAGGAATCTCCACAGTGATTTCCACAGTGTTTATAGCAGTCTGCACTCCCATCAGCAATGGAGAAGGGTTTGTTTTTCCACACAGCCCCACCAGCATTTGTTATTGGTTGATTTCTTGAGTGGAATGAGGGGACTCTCAGCATTGTTTTAATTCTCTTGTTTGACCAGTGATGTTGAACATTGTTTCATATATTTACTTGCCATTTCTACTTCTTCATCTGAGAAGTATTTTATTCATTTCAGATGCCCAGTTTTGGATTGGGTCTTTAGATTTGGGATGTCTGATTTTTTTTGAGTTATGTTTTCTAGATATCAGTCCTTTGTCTGAGGAACAGCTAGCAAAAACTTTATGTGGGCATACTGTGGGTTGTCTCTTCACTCTGTTGGTAGTTTCTTTTGCTGTGCAAAAGCTTTTTAATAAGATGAGATCCCAGCTGATTCTTTGTGTGATCAAGGTTTTGTTCATAAAGTCTTCGCCTATACCAATAACTTCAAGAGTTCTACTTATTGTCTTCCAGTAGATTTAGTGTTTCTGTTTTAATATTTAGTTCTTTTGATCCATTTCAATTTTAGTTAAGTGCATGGTAAAAGATGTGGTTCAGGCTTAATTAATCTTTAGCATTTGGAAAGCCAGTTTTTCCAGCATCATTTATTAAAGAGGCTATCTTTCTTCCAGTGACGGTGTTCGGGTCCTTTGTCAAAGATACGGTGGCTGGTGGGGTGTGACAGCACATGCCTATAATCCCAGCACTCATGAGGCTGAGGCAGGAGGATCACTGAATTTGAGTTCAAAGCCAGCCTGGGCTACAAAGTGAGTTCAAGGCCAACCTGAACTGCGTAGTGAAACCCTGTCTCAAAAACACAAAAATAAATACGTAAGCTGGCTGAGAATGTTTGGAATTGTTTCTGCTTCTTGTAATCTGTTCCATGGATCCTCGAGTCTGTTTTTCTTTGCCAGTACCATACTGTTTTTAATCACCGTAGCTTTGTGGTATAATTTCAAGTTACAGATTCTGATGTCCCCTACCCTAGCAGGATTGTTAGCTGCCCAGAATTGCTTTTGCTATTCTAGGTCTCTTCTGGTTCCAAATGAAACTTAGGGTTGTTTTCTCTAATTTTATGCTATTGGTATTTTGATTGGGATTGCATTAGATTTGTCTAACAATTTTGGAAGTATGACCATTTTCACTATATTGGTTTGTCTTACCCTAGAACAAAGAATACTTTTCCATTTTCTGATATCCTTTTCAATCTCCTTTTTAAGAGTACTATAGCTTTCAATGTAAAGGTCTTTTACTTCCTTAGTTATATTGATTCCTAGGTATTTCATTTTTTAGGGTGCTGTTAGGGAAGCTGTGGTTTCCCTAATTTCTCTCTCAGTGAGTTTGTTATTTGTGTACAGGAGTGCTATTAAATTTTGAGTGTTGACTTTGTATCCTGATATACTACTGATTTTGGTTATTAACTGGAGAAATCTTGGGTGGATTTTTTGGGGTCTTCTATGTAGAGTAGCGTGTCATCTGCAAATAATGATGATTTCACTTCTTCCTTCCTATCCTTATTCCTTTTATTTGTTTCTCTTGTCTAAATTCTCCAGCTGATGTTTCCAGAACTATTGAATAAGAGTGGTGACAGTGGACATCCTTGACCTGTTCTTGATTTTAGAGTGAAAGCTTTCAGTTTCTGACCACTTAGTATGATGTTGGCTGTTGGTTTGTCATAGACAGTTTTTATCAGATTGAGATAAAAGACCGTCTATTCCAATTTTTTGTAAGTTTTTTTTTTAATCATGGAGACTTTGTCAAACACTTTTTCTACATCGGTTGAGATGACTATATGGATTTTGTCCTTTACTCTGTTAATATGGTATATTACATTTATTGATTTGCATATGTTAAGCCATCCCTGCATGCCTGGGATGAATCCTGCTTGGTTATGGTGTATAATATTGAAAATTTGCTGCATTCTGTTTGCCATTATCTTATTGAGGATTTTTGTGTCTATGTTCCTTAGGGAAGTTGGCCTAAAGTTCTCTTTTTTGGTTGGATCCTTCTCTGGTTTTGGTATCAGGGTAATGCTTACTTCCAGGATAAGTTTGGGAGTATTGCTTCCCTTTCAATTTCATTAAAGAATTTGAGAAGTAGCAGCATTAGGTCTTTCCTAATTTCTTCTAGAATTCAGCAGTGAATCTGCCAGGGCCTGGGCTTTTCTTTGTTGGTAGGTTTTTAATTACACCTTCAATTTCTGATTGATACTGGTTTATTTAGATTTCCCATATCTTCTTGTTTCAGCTTTGGTAATTCATATGTCTCTAGGAATCTGTCGATTTTTTCTGTTTTTCATTTTATTAGAATACAGGTTCTTGGAGTGTAGGTATTGATGATCTTCTGGATTTCTGCAGGATCTGTTGTGACTTTACCCTTTTTATTCCTAATTGCATGGATTTGAGTCTTTTCTTTTTTGATAAGGTTGGCTAAAGGTTTGCCTGTTTAATCTTTCAAAGAATATACTCTTTGATTCATTGATTCTTTGTATTTTCTTAGTCTTCATTGCATTCGTTTCTGCTGTGATTGTTATAATTTCCTCCCTTGTATGAGCTATGTGTTTGACTTGCTGTTCTTTTTCTGGAAGCCTGAGGTTTAACATTAGGATGTTTAATTGAGCTTACTCTGCTTTTCTGATATGAGAATTCGCTGCTATAAATTTCCCTCGTAAGACTGCTTTCATTGGATCTCATAAGTTCTGGTATGTTATATTGGCATTATTGTTTAATTTTAGAAACTGTCAAATGTCCTTTAATTTTGTCTGTGACACATTGGTTGTTCAGGAGGGTGGTATTTAATGTGTTTATGAAACTTTTGTAGTTTCTTTTGCCATTGATATCCAATTTCATTGCACTATGGTCTGATAATATGCTTGGGATAATTTCAGTTCCTTTGCATTTACTTAAGCATGTCCCATGAGCTAGTATGTGGTCTGTTTTGGAGAATATCATGTGTGTAGCTGAGAAGAGTGTGTATTCTGATGTTGTGGGATGGAACATTCTATAAGTCCATGTGTTGAAAAGTTTCATTCAGTTCTGATATTTATTTTTTGCCTAGTTGATCTGTGTGTTTGTGACAGTGGGGTATTTAGGTCCCCCATTTCAGTTGTATTAGTGCTTATGTGGTTCTTCGTGAAAGTCCAGATCAGACTATCTGGTGGCTTTTAGGGGTTTTAAAATTAATAGCTTATTGGCAGACCAAGTACAGGTGAATTAAATTTCTGAGCTCGATTTTTTTTCCAGGATAGTGCTAGGAACATCTGGAGTGGACTTGTGGTATTTTATTCAGAAATGCCTCTCTTTCTTTTTTGGTACTGGGGATTAAACCCATGGTCTTAGTGAACTAAACTCCCAGCCCTTTGTTTATGTTTTATTTGAGATACAGTCACACTAAGTTGCCTAGGCTGGGTGAGCAAAACTGGCCCCCTTTAAACTGTTGGTGAGGCCCTGAAGTGAGGGATATGATTTGATACTAGGAATTAATAGAAAATTACTTTCTCACCAAAGGCTCCAGAAAACACCTTCCTATATAACCCATCTCAATAGTATCCTAATAGTACCTAATAGTATCACTGCCTAGGACAGCAGATTTGAGAGTAAAAATATAAAAATTATATACAGTGTGAATGGATTTCCTAATGGCAACAAACCAGTATAGTTGGCAATATAATTTCCAATGGAAAAACTGTGGAGGAATTATCTTCCTGAGATGTCAGGCTTTGTGTGGAGGACAGATTTTGGTTTGTAGTAATATTATCAAAGCTATTCAATGAAAGTTTCTGCTATAAGGGAAATGTTCTGTATTTGTGTTGTCCAGTACAGTAGCCACTAGCCACATGTGGCCAGTGAGCCTGAAGAGTCAATTTTAAAGTTAAATTTAATTAATTTAAGTAGAACCATGTGGCTGGTGGCTGCCAAATTGAATGAGACAATTCTAGATGTTGAAAGCTTTTTATACTGCTTATTGATTTGACCCAGCCTAACACAGAGAAGAATTAAAGAATTATCTGGTCATATTTTATTAAAAATTCAATGGCTTGTATTCCTCTTTTCCTGTGGCTTATAGCGTCTTCCTCTAATTACACCACTTCCCACTCTGCCCAAGCAGGGAAGATGTGAAAGAACCACACAGTTCTTCCTGTCATTGTGGAGGAGGGGTATAGAGCCCATGACTGTGTGCTGCTGCATCACCACAAGGCTTTTATTCTGCTCAGGCACACTGAGAGACAGAAGTTGTTTTAGTATACATTTTCCTAATCATGGATCATCTTCTGTGTGTGTATTCATAACTCTTCTGTAAATGGTCCCTTTTTCTGTTGCATTTTTTTATCATTTTTGTGTGTTCTTGACCTTGCACTTGCCAGGCAGGCACTTGTGCTGCTGAGCTATATCCCTGGCCCTGTCTTTTTTTTTTTTTTTTTTAACTGATTTTTGTTAAGTATTTTCCCAAGCTTGATTCTTTTTTTTAATCTTCATTAATGGTTTATTTTTCCATCAAAAGTTTAAATTTTTGTTGTCAAGTCTGTCTTCATGGTTTTTGTTTATATTATGCTTAACAAGACATTTTCCACTCTGACATATTTTTTGTAAGATAGAATCTATGTTGTTCCACCTGGTCTTAAATTCTTGGGTTCAGGCCATCATCATGCCTTCTGAGTGACTAGGTCTGTAGACATGGGCCACCACTCTTGGCCAAGATTTTTTTGTTTGTTTTTTGAGACAGGATCTCACTATATAGTTAAGACTGCCCTTGAATTCACTATGTCATCGAGGGTGGCCTTGAACTCAAAGCAGTCCTCGTGCCTCAGCCTCTCCAGTGCTGAGATTATAGGTGTGCACCAGCACACCCAGCAAAACTAGTTTTTTAATCTAAATTTTGTGTGTGTTGTGCATGCATGCACAAATTTCTTTCTGATGTTCCCTTCTGTTTCATTTATCTGTTTTCTTATTTTTAATTACTCAAGTTCTAAGGTGTTAGGTTGGACCCATGAAATTGCCACCTTTGTGTATTAAAAATAATCGACTAAGCCCATGCATTCATTAAAACTTTCTATTATTGCCAGGTGTGGTGGTGCACTCCTGTAACTCAGCACTTAGGGAGGCTAAGGGAGGAAGATTTCAAATTCAAGCCCACATTTTGTAATTTAGTGATTTAGTGAAACCCTGTCTCAAAATAAAACATAAAAAAAGTCTGGGGATGTAGTTCAGTGCAAAGGTCTAGGATTCAATCTCTACTACCACCAACACAAACAAACAAAAAGCCCTTTTATTATGAAAATTTCCAGCACATATGAACATAAATAGAATGTTATACTAAACCCCCTAGACGTGTCACTCAGCTTCAGTATTGTCAACATTTAGCCAATCTTGTTTCATTTATCCCCACTTCTTAATGTTTCTGGGATATTTAATAATTGTATTTCAACACCTCTTTGCTCAGGTACTTACTCTGCTTTATATTTATGCAAACTGTTTTTTGAACTGACCTAATGAATCTCTACAGAAAAGCTTCAATGTCAACACTACTTACATATGCCCAGATATGACAGTGGTTTCAAAACATGGTCTGATCAGGCGTGGTAGCACCTGCCTATAATCTCAGCTACTCAGTAGGCTGAGGCAGGAACATTATAAATTGGAGTCCAGCTGAGCAAATTAGCAAGATCCTATGTCAAAATTTTAAAAAGGGCTGAGAATATAGCTCAATGCAAAGGTCCTGAATGCATGAAAAAAGATAATCTTATGTTGAAAAGAAAGAGAAACTATACTCAGGCTCCTGCTTTCTAACCACTGTGTTTTAAGTATGCAGTTAACCAGCTGTCCTGTTCCTTTCAGAATTATAGCATTCAGCCGGCCTGTGAGATACGAAGATGTGGAACTCAAGGTGGCAAAAGTGTTTGGGCAACCTCTTGATCTGCATTACATGAACAATGAGGTGAGAGAGATGGGTGGTGCGTAGTAATGGGAATTTGAGGAGTCACGCTGGTGGGCAAGACAGACAATTTGGCAGCACCATGGTTCTTTCGACAGTCGTATCCTTACTGTGTAGTTTGATTTGTTAAAGAGTTAAATTTTTCTTCATAATTTAGAGCCAAGGGCAGTGTCACCTGCCTGTACTCTCAGATATCTGGGGGTTGGGACAGGAGGACCACAAGTTTGAAGCCACCCCAGGCAACTCAGCAAGAACCTATCTCAAAAATTAGGGCCAGGGATATAGCTCAGCGGCATAAGCGCCTGTCTAACAAGTGCAAGGACCTGAGTTCAATTCCCAGTACCAAAAAAAAAAATTTTAAAATAAAAAGGGCTAGGTATGTAGTTCAGTGGTAGGGCACCCCCCAGGTTCATTCTTTTTTTGTCTTTTTGAGACACGGTTTCACTGTGCAATTCAGGCTGGCCTTTAACTCATTTTGTATACCAGGCTGGCCTCAAACTCACAGAAGTCCTCCTGCCTCAGCCTCCCAAGTGCTGGGATTACAGGTGTGCGCCACCATGCCTGGCTAGCCTAGGTTCATTCTTACTATAAAACAAACACAAACAGAAATGAAATGAAAAGAGGTAGTGGTGTAACTGAATGGAAGAGCTCTTGGCTAGCATGTACTAGGCCCTAGATTTGATCCTTAGCACCCCCGCTAAAAGGAAAAATATCTTTTTAGTTTAGGGCTGAACTCTGCAGATACTGAAAGCCCTTTCCAAAGAAACACAGCTGCAACTGAGTATGCTATCAGCATATGTTGGGTTTTTAAAATAAATTTTAGAAATATAGCAGTTTTAAAAAATGAATCACTAACTCTGAAGTTAATTGTCATAGTTACTTTTCTCTTATTGCTGAGACAAAATACCCAACACCCAAAGTTAAGGAAGGAAAGCTTTATTTAGCTCACAGTTTATAGAGGCTTCAGTCCCTGGTCAGCTGGCTTCAAGGCAGGTTGGCACGGCACTGGTTAGTTAATGGCAAGCAGAAGGTAGCAAAGCAAACAAGGGAGAAGACAAGCCTCTTATGTTGTATCCAGGCTACCGGGATTAGGGTGGTACCAGCCAATCAATGGACTGATTTAGTAATCACACACCTTTAATCTCAGCATTATACACTTAAGATTTAGCCACCTCTGAAAATGCCCCACCTGTGACTGCACAAGGTTTTAGGGGAATATCTAGGCCCAAACTATAACATTAATAATAATAGAAGTGTAAATATTTTGAGATATATAAACTAGCCAGTCATGGTGGTGCACACCTGTCATCCCAGCACTCTGTGGGGTTCAGACAGGTGGATCATAAATTTTAGCCCAGCCTGGACAATTTAGCAATTTAAAGAGATCTTGTCTCAAAATAAAATAGTTTTAAAAAGGACTTCACAGTTGGGCGTGGTGGAGCACACCTGTAATCCCAGCATTTGGGAGGCTAAGTCAGGAGGATCATTGCAAGTTCGAGGCCAGCCTGGGCTACAAAGTCAGTTCAAGGACAGCCTGAACTGCATGAGACCCTGTCTCAAAAAAGACTAAATAAATAAATAAAATAAATAAAATAAAAAGGGCTTGGTATGTAGCTCAGTAGTACCACACCACCAAAAAAATTCCAGATGTCCATACTATACTGATACCAGTGACCATTATTTATTTATTTATTTTAAGTGTTTTTTTCAGACAGGGTCTTGCTGTGTAACCAGGCTGGCCTCACTCTGTAGCCCAGCCGTCCTCCTGCCTCAGTGCCCAAGTGCTGAGATTATAGGCACATGCCACCATGCCCAGCCTGATTTACATTTTGTTAATTTAAAATCCCCCAATTCCTTTTTTTTCCTTGCCCTTTATTTAAACTCTGCCATACCAGGATTTGAGAAGCTCAAATGAAAACTCTATTGAGGTTTTATTTAATTTATATTTTTGTAATAGGCTTTATTGAGATACAATTGACCTACTGTGCAGTTTGTTCTTTTTAAGTACACAGTTCAGTGGTTTTTAGTATATTCATAGACTTGTGCAACTACCACTACCAGCTAAGTCCAAAATATTTTTATCACCCTAAAGAGAAACTCTCTACCCGTTAGTAGTCACTTTCTCTTCTCACCTGAGCTCTTAGCACCACCTGTTTTCTGTCTTTGATTTTCTTAATCTGAGTTTTTTATATAAGTGGGATCATACAATATGTGGCCTTGCGTTTTTGGCTTCTTTCACTAGGCCTGTGTTTTCAAAGATCATCTGTATTGTAGTATATATCAAGACTTTATTACTCTTTATGGCTCAATAATAAACATTCCATTACATAGATGTATCACTTTTTGTGTATTCATTCATCTGTTGATGGATACTTGTTTCTAGTTTTTGGTGATTATGGATAATGACGTGTTAAACATTTTGTACAAGTTTTTATATTTCTTTTCAGTTCCTAAATATTTGAACAAGTTTTACATATCTTTTCAGTTGTTAAATGTGTAATTGATAGTGCTAGGTTATATGACAAATCTTAACTTTTTTTTAGCTGTTGAATTTTTTTATAATGGCTGCACTATTGTTCTTACCAGCAGTGTATAAGAATTACAGTGTCTTTACCATTCTTGACAACACTTGCTCTTTTCTTTTTTTCTATTTGTTTGTTTTTGGTGCTGGGGATCGAACCAAAGGCCTTTTACATGCTAGGTAAGAGGTCTGTCACTGAGTTACGTGCCCAGCCCTTCCTGTTTAGTAGCTGTGCTAGTGGCTGGGGAATGATATGTCACTGTGGTTTTGATTTGTAGTTCTCTAATGACTAGTGATTTGAACATCTTTTCATGTGCTTTTGTTTTTTTATTTTGAGACAGGGTTTCACTGAGTTGCCCAGGCTGAGGTTGAACTCAAGCTTCTCCTCCTTCAGCCTCCTGGAGTGCTAGAATTATGCGTTCACCATTGCATCTTGCCCTTACCTATTTTAAAAATCGAAATTTTTTTTCACGATGCTGGGAATTGAATCCAGGGTCTTCACACTGAGCTACATCTTCAGGCCTTTTAAAAATATGTTTTGAGACAGGGTCTCACTATTGCCCAGGCTGGACTTGAACTTGCGGTCCTCCTGCCTCAGTTTCTCAGGGTAATAGAATTACAGGCATGTCCCACCATCCCTGGCAGATTATCTTTTTATTGTTGAGTTGTATGAGTTCTTTATGTATTCTATATACCAGACTCTTACACATTTGCAAAGTTATAGCTTAGTTTTTTCTTTTTTCTTTCTTTCTTTCTTTCTTTCTTTCTTTCTTTCTTTCTTTCTTTCTTTCTGGTACTAAGAATTGAGCTCAGGACCTTGTGCTTACCAGGCAGGTGCTTGTGCTGCTGAGCTATCCCCAGCCCTCAAAGTTAACGGTTATTTCAGTGATTTCTTTACCTCCCCCTGGAAAATAGGTCTTACTTATTTTTATTTTTAATATCTCCCAGTCACCCATGAAGGGAATCTTTTGCAGTATTACATGATTTGCAAAACATTCTCCTCTCCCTTGAGTAGTTACAAGATTTTGTTTGTGCTGGGGATTGAACCTAGGCCTTACACATGCTAAGCAAGAGCTCTACCAGTGAGCTATATCTTTAGTCATTTTTATTTTTATTTTGAGACAGAGTCTCCCTAAACGAGGCTGGACTTTAACTTTCAGTCTTACCTCAGCCTCCAAGTAGCTGGGATTACAGGCATGTACCACCATGCCCAGCTAGGCTTTGTTTTTTCTTTATTCATTTGTTTGTTCATTTATTTTTTGATACTGGAGATTAAATATAGAGCCTTGTAACCACTAAGCTACATTCCCAGCCCTTTTCTTTAAATTTTGTTTTGAGACAGACTAGCCTCAAATTCACATCCTCCTGCCTCATTTTCCTGAGTAGCTGATATTACAGTTGTGTGCCACCATGCCCAGCTGAAATTTAATTTATTAATTAATTTATTTATTTTTGAGACAGAGTCTTATTATGTAGTTCAGGCCTGCCTTGAACTCACTATGTAGTGCAGGCTGGCCTCAAAGTCAGCAGCAATCTTCCTTCTTCAGCCTCCCAAATTCTGGAATTACAGTCATATACCACCACACCTGGCACTGAGATTTTATTTCAAATACTTTTCTTACTATTTGCTTTTTCCTAGTTTAGGATTTAGAGTTCTCTCATCTCATTGTATTACAGATTAGAAACTCAATTAATTTGGAATTTTGCTTGGTTCTTTTTTAATCAAAAATGTATAAGAACTGGGCTTGGTGGCACACGCCTATAATCCCAGCACTTAGGAGGCTGAGTCAGGAGGATTGCTGTGTGTTTGAGGCCAGCTTGCACTACAACATAGTGAAACCCTATCTCAAAAAACAAAAAATATACGATCTGACATTTGTTAGGTCCTAGGAAAAAGTATACTTTTGCATTCTTTAGTACTATCTACTCATGATGTCTTCTGCTTTAATGGTGAGTGAGACTTACTATATCTTTGCCCTCAAGGACGTTCTCTTTAATAATTCAGTGGAATGAAAATGGAGAAGGTTTTCAGGTTTTAGTAACTGATTTATTATTAAACATTAAGATAGTAAACCTTGCTCTGCTGTCTAAATTTGTGCTCTTTTTTTATTTTAAAGAGAAAAGAATAAGAACAAATTTACAAAGACATAAGCAGAACAACACGAAAATAGTAAAAACGATACAGAATTTCAAATAAGGTGGTAGGATATTAACAGTGGTTGTTGTATTACGTATTGTTATCTTCATATTGGTTACTTAGATAACCAGATAGAGGTATGTAAGATTGATCAAACAATTAAACATTAACTGTTCTTTTCAATAAACCAGTAGAAATTAGTAGTGCAATTATCTAAGCTATCTTGTGTACATATATATACATAATTTTTCCCTTCTTTCTTTGCTCTTTTCTCTCATCCCAGTTGTTTTCCTTTTAAGCAGTTCCTTTCCCTTTCACAGTATCTGTTGTACCTTTCAGATTTTATTTACTCTTTCAGGTTCTTACACTAGGGAGACAATATGATGTTTACACATGTGAGTCTGATTTATTTCACTATGAGTATGGTCTCTAGAAAGATAAACTCGAGGCTTTTATAGGTAAATGGATGCAACTAAATTTGTGCTCTTATTTGAATAAGTTTTCATCCCTTTCCTACGCCACTGCCTCTCTTCTGTCTTTCCTGCTTGTTCTTTTGAGGTCAGCAGAATTCGAGACCGGGGTGGGGTATGGTTATACTGCCTACTTTGGAAAGAAGTATAGGAGTTGTAGCTGTTTGGGATTTGATCCTTTGGGTTTTTTATTTATTTTTTATTTTTATTTATTTATTTTTTTGTGTGTGTGGTACCAGGAATCGAACTCATGACCTCACATTTGCTAGGCAGGTGCTTGCACCACTGAGCTATATCCTGGGCCCAGGATTTGATGCTTTGGAGTAGACAGTTTTTTAAGAGAGGAACCTGTTCTCAGAAAATGTCTCAGACCAATTAATGAGATGTGCTACAGCAATGGATGAACAAAAAAAATTATACTGAAAGGCGGTAGATGCAAAAGACTGTGAACCTTTGAACTGAATATGTATAAAGTGTTGATTCCATTTATAATAAATGTCCAGAAAAGGCAAATCCATAGAGACAGAAAGTAGATTAGTGGCTGCCTGGGGCTGGAGACAGAAAGGGGTGGTTACTGTAAATGGGCCCAAGAGATGTAGAAGTGATGGCAGTCTTTGAAAATGGAATTGTGAAGGAAAGGAATTGTGAAAATTGTGACTAGAGGGAGGGGTAATTGCACAACTCCATAAAGTGTCTAAAAATTACTGAATTATATACTTACAGGAGGAAATCTCTATGATTTCAGCTAGATACCCAGTAGTATCTAATGAGATTGTTTTTCTCCAAACTTAGGTTTCATTTTTGCAAACTGAAGCATTGAGATAGATTTGTATTTTTTTATTTCCTTTTTCTCTGTCCTGTGTCACAGCTCTCCATCCTGCTGAAAAACCAAGATGATCTCGATAAAGCAATTGACATTTTGGACAGAAGCTCAAGCATGAAAAGCCTTAGGATATTGCTGCTGTCCCAGGACAGAAACGATGTAAGTAGCTGCTGTCGTGGCCTGGCAAGTGAAGACAAAGCCTGGTTTCCTTTAGGCCTGCCTTGCTTCCTTGTCAGGATTCTGTGTTCCTCAGCCACTGCCAAAGTGAGAGCCTAAGTGCAGCCCCGCTCACTGTGTCAGTGCCAGCATTGGCTTTCATTCTGCACTCGATTTCACTGAAAGCAAGATCGTTAGTGTCAGCGTTACCACTAATGATTATTTGGCTAATAGTATGGGAGGAAGGAAAACACTGTATGCTAAAGGAAAAAATTCTTTTTCTCTATATTTATGTTCTTTCAGTTAGATTTTGACCCCACCAAGGAAGATGTGATTGGTGTAGGGGTGCTGTTCAGCAGAGGCTGTCAAGGGTATGAGACTGTCACGCTTTGTGAACCCACCTCCCGTAATTCAACAGCCTTGCCTTGCCTTTGGGACACGTGTAGGAAACAGACTTTTCTTTTTGTGTAAGAGGAAAAAAAAGTCATGGGCTGAAAGGCAGGCAATCGAGGGGAGCTGTCAGAAGAGGGAATTATCCCTAATACAATTTCCTCTGTTTGTATGGTCCCCGGAGGTCTACTTTTCACAAGAATCCTTGCAGTCTGCGTCTACCAGGGTTGGTTTGTTTGGTTTTGGTTTTTTGAGGTAGAGTCTCACTGTGTAATTCAGGCTGGCCTTAAACTCCTGGAGATCTTCCTGCCTCAGTCTCGAGTGCTGGGGCTACAGGCGTGCACCACCACACCAGACTGAATCTTTCTTTAATCACTAGTTCCCATACCAGCCTTCTTCAGATGCGTGTTTCTGAAGGTCTCTTGGCACTCTTTCCTTTCGTTATACTTGGGGACATTGGCTGTGCACAGCTGACGTGTCTGCAGGAGAACTCTGTACCAGGAAAGCATCTAGGTGCAATGGTACTCAGGCCGATCATTTATTTTCTAAAGAGACTTGAGGGGCTGGACTGTCATTGACTAGAGGGAGGCTAAGAAAATGCAGTTAAAAAAACATAACAAAGCCAGTAGCCTCTAATATTACAGAAATGTCCCTGTGCATGAGGAATGGTCTTGATCCCAGCGTATCTTCTGGGTATGTCTGGGGAAGTAGTCTGAAGTAAGAGATACTTTATCATTTGATTTCTCTGCTAGTTACTCACTTGCTCCATGTAACCCTTTGCTGTCTATCACGTGAGATCTAAATTTAATCTAGCATCCAAGGCTCCCCACTGACTGTTCCTACTTTTAGCTCCCCAACTTGTCTTTCCACAGTCTTTAGCGTACTCCCTTTACTCTGCAGCCCGTGGCTTTTCCTCTCTGCTAGTCCATGGTTATCACCTTTTTTTAGCATCTTTTGTTTACTATAATTTTTTCAACATTTTCAACTGAGGCCATTTTGATTATTCCTTATTCCTTCAGTGATTGGATATAGTTTGTACACTACTTTGTGAGTATGTAGTAATTCCTTCTAGTTGCATATTTGTAATTTGTAATCTTTTTTCACTTAGTTTATAATCCAAAGGATTATAAACTCCCAAAACAGGAGCTGTATCAGTGTTTTGGAACTCCTTCTCTGTTTATTCATGAGATAAAACACAGGAGTGCTTCTTGAATTGTTGACAAGAGTTAAGCAGAGATCATTTTCAACCTTCTTCCCTGAGAAAGAAACTGGAATTGGAGTTAGGTTTAATGATTACTTGACTGCGAGCTGTTTCCTCTGATGCGATTGTGAGCCCTATACTCTCCTGATCTCCCGATGAAAAATTAGAGACAACTCATTCTTTATGCCAGTGTTCTAATCACTGAAGTGCACATGGCTGCAGACACTGCAGCGGTACTCAGAGCTGTTTGAAATATGGCCATCTGAAGTCTGACTCTCATGGCACTGCATAAGACAAATGCCACATTGACGCCGCTCTTTCTAAGGAGTTGTATTTTAAGCAATTAGAGTCAGTGTAAGTTTTTCAAAAGCTTTTTTAAAAACTAAGAGGGCTATTTTACATAATCCTACTACTATAACACATTCATTGATAAATTTTTCCATATGCCTTTCTAGTCTTTGGTCATACTGAATATGTACCTTATGTAAATGTTTTCCTGGTATTCATGCACTTTTCTAATTTATTTTTTTCACTTAACATTATCATTAAACAGGCATGGTGATGTAACCTGTAATTCCAGCTATGCAGAAGGCTGAGGTAGGAGGACGACAAGTTCAAACTAGTCTGGGCAACTTATTGAGACTTTGCCTCAAAATAAAATAGCTCTGCCTAGCACATGGGATACTATGTTTGATCCCAAGTACCACACACACAAAAAAAAACTTTGCTATATAAATATATCTTTATAATTTATACGGTTGCATAATTCTCTTGAAATTGATTTGTTTTGTTTTGTTTTGTTTTGGTAGGGTCTTGCCAGGCTGGCCTCAAACTCATGGCAGTCCTCCTGCCTCAGCCTCCCAAGTGCTGAAATTATACACATACACTACTATACCTGACTTCAGAATTTTTTATTTTTATTTTTTTTTCGGTACCAGGAATCAAACTCAAGACCTTGTGCTTGCCAGGCAGGCCCTGTGCTGCTGAGCTAAATCCCCAGCCTCCCAAAATTTATTAAATAACCATATTTTGCTACTGTTGGTACACTTAAACTGCTTCCATTTTTTGCCTTTGTAAAGACTTGCATTTATGCTGGGAATGTAGCTCAGTGGTACTTACCTAATATGTACAAGGCCCTGGGTTCAAGCCCCAGTGCAGACAAAGATTTGCATTTAAGACTAATGGTGGCAAAAATATCTTCCCTTCTCAGCTAGATTTCAAACTATTTTTTTAAAACAGGGACTTGATTTGAGATCTAGGCCCTTGAACTCACTAAGTAGACAAGACTGGCCGCAAACTCTTGATCCTCCTGCCTCAGCCTCCCAAATACTAGAATTACAGGCATGCACTACCCTAGCTGGCGTAGACATCAGGCTTCAAAATAAAGAGGAGAATCACACTAAAAAAAAATGCTGTGTACTCTGGGATCCTCACTTACAGAGCAGCGCTTCTCTAACTGTGGTGAAATATCAGTTTTATTCTTTTAATTTCCAATCTATCATGGGCCAGTTTTTTAAAAATTTTTTTTGAAATGTATACAAATATTGAAAAATGAAATGGAAAAGTAAACTACACTCTTATAAAATCCACGGTTTTTATTGTTAGAGTCAGTAGACATAAAGCCAATTCAAAATTGCTGTGAAGTTTTTCAAGAGGTACGCTCCATTTCTGTACTTACTTGGGTAGGGCTAGTGTACAGGCTGCTGTGTGGCACCATCCCAGAGATCACGCTTGAAGTACAGTGCTCAAAGATACCACATCACCAGGTCTTCAGTTCCTCCTGCTGTGAGCTATCAGCCACTTTGTTTCTGTACTTTGAGTAATTGCCCTATCCAAATTTTGTAACCGCCTCTTCTTTTCCTTCTTATTCTTGTTTTCGTTTTTTGAGGCAGAGATTTGCTATGTAGTTCAGGCTGGCCTTGAACTCACTGTGTAGCCCAGGCTGTCCTCCAACTCATGGCAATCTTTCTGCCTCAGTCTCCTGAGTCCTGGGATTATAGGCATGCACCACCATGCCAGGCTTATTCCTATTATTAAATGTGTTATCTCTTCTTTTTGGGTTTTTTTTTTTTTTTTGCTGATCTTTCTCTGTTCTTTCTTCTGTCTCTGTTCTTCAGCCATGGTATAGTTGTACCCCTCCCACGGCATGGCCAAAGTCATTGTCTTAGACTTTAGTGTTGCTCTTATGTGGGGACTCCTGGATTTGTTAACCACAGACCTGCCTCTGTGAAGAGTCTCTCTAGCCTTGGTGTCTACTGGCATTTTAAGACATTTGTTTTCTTCCATCACCAACTCTTAGCTTATTTCTCTTCCCCCACCCCTCCTTCTCTTCTCCTTCTCCCTCTCCCTCCCTCCCTCCCTCTCTCTCTCTCCTGGTACTCAAATATCTCTTTAAACATATATGCATAAATTTAATTCTTACATTGTCTGCTCTTAACCTTATAGCTTTCTAGTTGAGACTTTTCCACTATCATAATGTCAAACTGAACATTCTTTTGTCACTTGTATCCTAATATGATAAAAACTAAACAAATACCCAGCATTTTACTGTTACCTCAGATTCTTTCTGACTGAAGGAAACTTCCAGTGTTTTCATCCAAGTGTTGTTTCAGCTTTCCTGTCAGCTTACCTACTGTTTTAAGTTCAAATTGTCAAGGGTAACCTAAAGGGTAACGCTTTTCAGTCTTCCTAAAATAATAGGACAAGCATAGGAAGATAAAACTGGTTGGGCAGAGTAATTTCTGTCTGGCCCGTGTTTAAAATAATAGCACCTTACTTGTAAGAGGTGATTGCTTTCATCTCTCAGTCATTCTTACAACTCTGAGGAGTTCAGGACAGGCATCTGTATTTCCGGTGTTTACCTGGGAAAATCAAGCTTTAGAGTGGCTTGCCCAGCTGAGGCAGTGCGTATACAGGGGCAGAGCTGGTCTAGAATCCAGTTGTTCCGTGTAGTTCACTACCTGTCAGTTACCATCCAGAATAGTAATCCTAAAATTACCTTAATCCTAAAGAAACCTTGCCAAAGCCCCTCCACAGCTGGATAACATTAAAACAAAAAGTATAATGTTGTCCATGAGGAAAGGTTACAAGATGTATTATTTTATTTTCTATGGCACAAAAGATAACTGATCTAGGAAAAGTTCTGAAGAAGACAGAAATTTCAAGGGGTTGCGGGGAGGTCTCTTTTACATGTGAATAGCATAAAGTTACAATTCTTTAGTCAGGAAAGATAGTCTAAGCATATATGTGATCAAAGTCATCAAAGCATTTAAAAGTATAAATAATGAACACTATAGTGACCTAATCTCAGTGTGGTTGAACCCTTTGAATACTGAGATTTATCTTAGAACAAAAGGAAATAAGGATTTTTATAACAGGTTGTAAACAAGGGTTTATTATTTTGAAGTTGTGTGGCTTCAAAACAGAATTTTAAAAATGATTTTAAGTGAAATTATGGACAGTAAAGATGTAAACTTAATTCACTTACACTTCCACCACTACCATGGTCTTCTGTGCAAATATCTCTTGGTACCACTACTAAAGCAGAGAACTACAGGGGTGCTATTGGTGAGGTTCTGCGTGTCACTTACCTTGCATTTCCTTTTGCCAAACGGAAGCAACCCCACTCCCTTTTTTCTTCCTTCTCCATAGTTGAATCCACTTGTTCTTTTTGTGTCTCATCACCAAATCTAAGATCATTTGTGGGCCAGCTTTTGCAGTTTATTCTTCTGCTGATCTCCCATCTTCTAGTCTCTGCTAATCTTTGTTTGTTTGTTTTTTGAGACAGGCTTGTTATGTAGTTCAGGCTGGCCTTGAACTCAATGTGTAGCCCAAACTGGCCTTGAATTCACAGTGATCCTCCTGCCTCAGCCTCTTGAGTGTGGGGATTACAGGCGTGCACCATCACACCTGGCTCCACATGTAGTTCATCAATAATTTTTCATATTGTCTGTGTCAGCCAGAATGTGCTGCTAGCCACAGAATCCTTCGTTGACGTTTTCATAAAATGGTCAGATATCACCTTTTAGCTGTTACATATGTATGTAAATCATCATGTTCTGTTAGCTACATACTTCATACCTGTGGGCTCCTTTCGCTCCGTGACAGTCTTCCATTACTTTTAGGTGTAGTCTCATTTAACCCCTTTCTCTCTTTCTTACTTTTGAGTCTTGTTTAAGATTCTGTGAATCCTTGTAATTCGTTTTTGTTTACCATGCTTTTCATTATCCCCTTATATTGAGGTTTTCAAAACATGGCTGAATATATTATTTATTTATTTATTTATTTATTTTTTTGAGACAAGGTCTCACTATGCAGTTCAAGCTGGTCTTGAACTCACTCTGTAGCCCAGGCTGGCCTCGAACTTGCAATGATCCTCTTGCCTCAGCCTCCCAAGTGCTGGGATTACAGGCATGTGCCACCATGCCCAGCCATGGCTGAATATTATAATCCCTTGAGAAGATTTAAAAATTAGCAGTGCTTGTAGTCCATCCAAGGAAATTCTGTTGTGGTTATTCTGAGACATCAAAAGTTCCATGGGTAGTTCTTGTGGCGTCGAGGGTTGAGACTTACCTGAGATTGGAGCACACCTCACCTCCTGCGACCTCACTGCTCACAGTGTACCTTATGGACCAGCAGAAATGGAGCTCTATGCCCCACCCAGACCTACCACATCAGAATCTGCACTTAAATAAGACTCGAGGGTTTTTTTTAATGTATGTGCCTCAAAATGTGAAAAGCCCTGTTCTGAAACCTTCACTCGGTGTTTCCTTGACCTGCTTTCCAAGCTGCTGCCAAACTTCAGCCTTTTCTTTTACAAATCTAAGCTTGTGCTGGCTGTTGTACTATTGTACAGGTTCAGCTTTTTTATTTTGAAACTGAGCGTTTAGACAGCGTGTTCTTTGGTACATTTCAAATTCATGTTGCCAAAACTCAGTGCATTCCCACTGTGTGAAGGGCCTGGATCCAACCAGATGTCATCAGGACACTTGTCATGTAGCTTTGTGGCTGCAGGGCTGTGGCCCTCCCTTGCCCTTCACAAGCTTGCTTCCCCGGTATGTGGCTTTGGCTGTTTTTTCCTTTCTGACTCTCAGCAGAGAGCTATTGCACATCAGAGGCTTCAGCAAGAACACTCACTTCCCCTTGGTTCTGACTTCCCCTTACGGCAGACAGTTCGGCAAGACAGCCCTGCATGTGATAAGGTCTGGCATAGGGAGACTAGAGAAGGTTGTTTGGCAGCTGAACTTGCCCTGGGGAGCAGGAGAGCCTTTTCCTGAAGAACAGGATATGGAGGTTGTTTAGGTCGGACTTCCTGTGTGTTCTTATGGAAGGTAGAGGTGATAGAGGAGCAGGGAGAAACTTTGGCCCAGATTGTTGGTGAATCCAGCCTCCCGTTTCCAGTTTCAGTAGCGCTCTGCTCATTTGTCTTCACATCCTGACGTCGCTTGCTTACCTCTGGTGTTCATTTCTAAGCCCTCTCAGTGCAGAAGTTTCCCTTTGTTGCTTTGATTTTTTTCTGGTGCGCACCCAACGACTTGATTGGGTTGGTGCAAAGTGGGGGTGGGTGCAGGAAAACCTCAGAGCCTACTCTGAGCTCTGTGAGCTCCAGCAGAACAGTGCCTACTATAGCTTTTCCCAGTTGAGCACAACCCTAAGATGAGTTACCTCGGTGCGTTGGACCAACTGAGATCTTCTACCTTGCTTTTAAGGTATCAGTTATGGTTGGGGAAGAAGCCACATGTTGAGTTGCTTTTTAAATACATACTTAGAGGGGCTGGGAATTTAGCTCAGCGGCAAAGCGCCTGCCTGGCAAGCGCAAGGTTGTGAGTTCGGTTCCTAGTACCGGAGGGAAAACAAAAAAAAAAAGAAATGAATACATACTTAGAAACCATATTTTTTGCTGGGCAGGGAAGTTGCCATCGTTCACTGTTTTGACCTCATGGCAGGTGATATTGCTGCTGAAATAATTTCCTGCTATTCTCCCTACGCTCTCTGGAGAATTTTATGAGAATATTTACAGCTCTCTTCTGTTTGACGGGTTGTTACAGGAATGCCTGTTATTCCTCCATGTCTGGGTCATCACCTGCTAAACTGGGGCACCAGGTATTGCTGCCGATTTATCACTGATGCTTTAAAACTACACCAAGCAAATAATGATTTGCCAAGAGAGATTGAGGCATAAGGTTTGGGGAAAAGCCAGGTGGCTCATGTGTTAAAACTGTGAAAGAGGCTGAAAGTGTAGGGATTCCTAGGAAAAGACTAAGGACCCTGGTAGCCTTTTAAAGACCTAGTTCAGCCTTTTTCCTCTTCTCTTACAGACCAGTTCCTCTCCCCACTCTGGGGTGTCCAGGCAGGTGCGGATCAAGGCTTCCCAGTCCGCTGGGGATATAAATACCATCTACCAGCCCCCTGAGCCCAGAAGCAGGCACCTCTCTGTCAGTGAGTATTTTACTCCCTTCCGCTGTCCTCATCAGTTTTATCTGCTCACATTTTAAAAATTCCAACAAATATTTATTAAATAATCATCGAATATGTATTGTCTGCCACTCTATGCAGAGTAATCGTCTGTGCTTTTGTTTGGGGAGAAGGGATAGGGAAATGACTGGAATAGTAAACTGATCTTACAGTATTATGGTGTAAGTGTCTGACTAAATTTCTTTTAAATGTCCATGAGACAGCTCCTCACAAATCTGTTTGAAGACTTCCTGCAGAGTTGTCACTTATTTTTGACCATTCTTTTCCCAAAAAACTGGGGACTTAGGAGTCAGGTCTGAGGTTGAGTTTTGACCTCAAACCTCTTACTTATGATCCCTGAGAAGTCCTTATGCTTCTAGGAAGATACTGGCTAGTGAGGCCCTTAGAGAGCTGTCTTAGGCTGCTTGAGAAGGATGGAGCGTTGACATACTATATATAGTTGGCTAACTAATGGGAGAGCTGCCAGCCTCCCCAGAAAAAGAGCCTAAGTCAGATATGTGCACTATACCAGATAACACGGCATTACTCCAGAGCCCTTTTCCCTCAGTCTGGCAAGAAAACCCGTTTCTTGAATTGTGACATTTTTATTAAGATGGAAGTCTGGCCTTATCAAACATTAGGGTTGTACCTGCTCCCCTAATATTGAAACTCTTCTGCTGCCAGGAAGCCACGTTTGCCCTTTTCCATAAAAAGTAGAAGTACACCAAACTTAGCTGCTCTCTAAGGATGCTCAGCTGAGCTTGAGGCAGTCTGACATTGGTTCTGCTCCTGAACTTACCATGAGGAAAGAAGGAAGTAGCAGAAGATGTGTGTTAGTCACTGACTTGGCCTCAGTGAGTAATTTCTGGAACCCAAGCAAGTGCCGGTAGTAAGTGTTACTAAGTCGAATGTCTGTAAATGAATTTCCGATTTCTGTAGATGGTTGGTGGGTTTGTGTTCACTATGCCAGTTAAGGAGAGGGAGCCATCATCCTAGCAAGCATCCCTGGAATACAGGCATCCTGGAACCTGGGAAGAGGGCAGAGCCGGGATTGGAAGAGATGATTTCTAACTAGAATAACTTGGGAAGTGCAGTCTGGAGAGAAGCTGGACTGAGCTGGACCTGAGAGGTTAGGGAGGACTTCCATATTCAAGAGTGAGGGGAGAGGGATTTTAGAACGTACCTGTGGTGATCTCACTGTCCTTCAGCTCCAGATGGGCTGGTATATGTGGAGGAGGCATAGAGGATGCTAAGAAGGAGTATCTGGGCACTGGACATGGTTATGCACACCTGCAATCCCAGCCCTGGGGAGGCTGAGGCAGGAGGATCACTGTGAGTTCGAGACCAGTCTGGGCTACATCGTGAGTTCAAGGCCAGCCTGGACTACTTAGTGAGACCCTGTCTCAGAAAACAAAAAGGAATGCCTGGGCTGCTTCCTGCATGCCTTAGTGAACTTGATTGTGCTGAAGTTTTTTGGTAGTCCACAGGAAGCCACTGAAAATGTTTGCCTCTACTCGCCTCTCCCTTATGCTTACTGTGTTATCTTATTACCTTACTTCTCTCCCGTGAGCTGCAATTTTATTCATTACCAGAGTATATGTGCTGGAAGCATGTAAAGCAAAAAAGACATGGATCCTATCCCAAAGATGGACATTTACTTGTCATGATGTGATCAGTATATAATGCCAGCTGACCAAAGATGTAGTGCTGTGAATGTGTGCGGCTGAGGGCTGGCTCCTGACCTTGGAGTTAGGAAAGCCGTAGGCTACTGCCTGGTGCTCGGATGGGAGGCAAGCAAAGGGGCTGCAGGAAAGAGGGCTCTAGGCAGGGCACGCTGCACCTAGGTAGAGGCCTGGGGCAGGCGGTGGTGTGAATTATGTGAGAAATAGAAAGGACGTCCCCGTGACTTGAGAGCTGGGAGCAGAAGAAAGAAGATAGGACTTGACTGAAGAGGGAGGCAGAGCCTTGTGGACTGTGATAAAGATGTTAACCCTGTGTTGAAAGCATTGAAAAGCCACTTTGGGATTTTACGTGAGGGGGAATGGGTGGTGTTACATGTCACCACTGACTTAAGGAGGCCATGTTAGGCCAATGCAGTAGTTCAGGTGAAGGAAAACAGGAGCTGGTTAGGCTGCTGACGTAACTAATGAAGAGATGAAGGAGCTGGAGGATTTGAGACATTTAGAGGTAAAACTGACAGAACATGGCTTTCCAGTGGTACTTAGTGTGGCGTGGGGACCTGGGGAGTCTCTAAGATCCTTTCAGGGTATCTGGAGCTTGGAATTATTTTCATAATCATACTGACATCTGATGCTCGTCCTCTTACAAGTGTTCAGAGAGCTTTCCGGAGGCCATGTGCTTGAAGGGACATTGTCACTCTGGTGACTGATGGAATGTGTGCTTATATATTACTATGTTTTAAAATGTGCTAGCTTTAAAATTTTTTTTTCTTCTGAGCCGGGGATATAGTTCAGTGGCACAGCACCTGCCTGGCAAGCACGAGGTTGTAAGTTCGATTCCCGGTACCAAAAAAAAGCTAAATTTTTTTTTTTTTTTCTGAGCTTAACTGGAGCAGTGGTACATGCCTATAATCTTAGCTACGCTGGAGACTGAGGGCAGCCTGGGCAAATTAGCAAGACTCTTTCTTAAAATAAAAAATAAAAATGACTGAGGGTATAGCTTAGTGGAACGTGGCTTTGAGCCCCAGTAAGGGTTAGGGTGTATTTCTGAGCTTGGACTGAGGTGTAGCTTAGTGGTAGAACATTTACCTACCATGCATGAGGCCCTGGGTTTGATCCTTAGCAGCACACACATAAACACACATACACACACACACACACACAGAGGCCACCAAAAGACGTATACACACTTTAGCAGTTCACTGTACTAATAAAACGTGGAAGGCCACCACTTTGAGTACCTCTTGTAATTGTAGAGGCCAAAGGTAACTTGTATTAATCCTATGATGTCTCAATAAATTTAGTATTAAAGTACTTATATAAGTTTTTCTTTTCTTGATGTATACGTTTTGGGCAGAATATATATATTAGTGTGTGTGGCCAGGCTGGCCTCAAACTTGTGGAGATCTTCCTGCCCCAGCACCCCCAAGTGCTGGGATTATAGGCATGCACTACCATGCCTGGCCTAATTTCTTTTTCTTGAGCTTTAATTCCTAATATGGTAGATTGGTTGGGCTCAGAAAATAATACTCCAAAGCTGGGCATGGTGGCATACCCCTGTAATACTAACACTTGGGAGGCTGAGGCAGGGATATTGCCAGGAGTTCGAGGCCAGCCTGGGTTACATAGTGAGTTCAAGGCCTTACATGGTGAGACCCTGTCTCAAAAAACAAAACCAAAAGGACGGTGATACTCCAAAGTATGGTGCTTTGGCATGCTGAATACTTGGAACTGAAGGACTTTGGAAGGGCATTGGAAACAAAGTCTCCGATCTTTTGACCTCCTGTGTCCTGTTCTCCCTTATCCTCCAAGGAAGACCACAAAAACTATCCTTCTGTTTTCCCCAAGCTTTTCACCCTCAAAACCAGCCATGAAGCCTACCTATATTTCTGTAACTTCCCCACCTTTCTGTGTAAGCTGTCCATAAAGTAATTCTGACTTCCCTTGTCTGATAGTAGATTGTGAGACTCGTTCCGAAGCAGTGTTGCCCTTTATCCAGGAGGAAGGAATGCCACATAGGAAGCCCAAAGCATCTGGACGGGCCTTGTTGGATTCCCCTCCTCAGTTTGTTACCATTAGGTATACCCATTTGTCTAATCACTTTTCTGCACACTGTTCATTCTTCTTTGTATCTGAGCAGGAATAGTTTTCCCTGGGTCTTTGTATTTTCATTCTGTTGTTTATTGTTATTATTATTATCAGTAGTAGCACATACTTGTAAAACATAATTCAGCCAGGGCTATAGCTCAGCGGCACAGTGCCTGCCTGGCAAGCGCAAGGTCATGGGTTCGATTCCCAGTACCAAAAACAAAAATATAATTCAATACATTCATCATGGGAAGTTGGTATGTGTATCATCTCTTAATCCTTTTTTCTTTCCCTTCTCTTCCCTCCCTTCCCCTTTTCCTCTAATCCTAGATCCCCTTCCTATCAGCAAAAGGTCTACCTCCTTTCCTATAATCTGTTTTTTTCTTTATTTATACTCTCATAGAAGAGAAATCTTGTGCTATTTAACCTTCTCTATCTGATTTATTTCACTTAGCATTATGGTCTCAAGGTGTCTTTTCTTACACATGACTCACATTTACCCTTTATGGCCGAGTAGTCCTCCACTGTGTATAAATACCACATTTTCCTTATCCATTCGTCTTTTGAGGAACATGTAGGCCACTTCCAAGATTTAACTATTGTGAGTTGTTCTACTATAAATATGGGCGTGCGTGTATCTGTAATGTGATGTCTTTAACTCTTGGGGGAATGAATGCATCTTCGTTTTGAAGGACTCTTATGTAAAATTTTGATTAAAAAAATAGTTATGCTACTCTTTTGTCAACTTATCTTTTGTTATAGGGACAATCCACTGTGACTCTTAGGGAGGAGAGGAAGGGCGTTACATTCTTTGTGCACCTGCAGTTTAACCCACACACATAAAAGCTCTTAAATGTTAAAAAGGATTCTAAAACCAGAAGGCTTAAGGACTGCTATGGAGCCGGGTTGAATTTTCAGGTGTTGAGAGGAGGAAGTATTCCTGGAAGGCTGCTGGAAGAGTGCTGGTCTCGGGTGTGAGGAAGGGACAGACCTGATCTTTTAGGCCTGTTTGGGTGTCAGTGTGCCTTTTTGTGAGAGGAGGTAGCAAATGAGCAGTTAGGTGTGTAGGTCTGTAGCTCAGAGGGGGAAAAAATCAGGGCTAGGGGAAAAAAAGTGGAAATCCTCAGCTTGAGATCATGGGCCCAGAGAAGTGTGTCTGCACAGACTCAGAACAAGAAGAGAGCCTAGGGCTGAGCCTTCGAAACGCAACACTTGACC